GAAACACTAGTTAGGCTATCAACAAATAGAAATGGTGTCACAAAATTCTCTAAAAATCAGAGCTTTAAGATTATTCGAAGCTCTGGAGATGAATTGGTGGAGACTTGTCAGAACCAACACTTTTAGAAACAGACAAGTTTCTTGAAAGATTTAGAGAAAACCCATTCTTTCGTGGAATCTTAGAGAGAAAGGAATTTTAGAGAGAGAAAGGAATGTTAGAGAGAAACATCTTCGTGAGCAACCTTGAGGGTGAGTGAGAATTGAGGAAAGAGAAGAAGGCGGCATTGGAGAGATTGAAGAAGCTCCCAGAGCAATAAGCCGCACCAAAATGTAAGGGTACTATCGACATTTCCCATTTTAAGCTTGCACTTAACCAACATTTTGGTCAGGAAAAAAAAAACAGAAGAAGAAGTAGAAAATCAGGACGAGTTATAAGATTTGTCTTGATTTAGCTCAGACCGAAAGAGAAGTCATTGGCAGACCGACGCAGGGTAACATGACCGAATCCTTTTATCTTCTTTAGTAAAACAAGAGTGATTTATTAGTCAAAACACTAAACATAATATGACAAAACACAAAACAAGATGATTATAAAAGTCATGCATGACAAAAGTAAGTCAGAATCCTCTCCTTCACGTGAGTTGTCTCTCCTCAGTCTTCTTCGCTCTCTCCGACGTCCTCCTTTGTAGATAAGAATCCTCTCGTGCGCTTTCCAATTGCTGTTAGGCCTTCCCAAGTCAACAATGGAAGATCATCAGTATCATCATACCCTCGTGGGTTTTTTTGTGCAAGGAAAACATTGTAACCTCTCAATTTCAAATCACGAAGGGTAGACCGGAGGCACAATTTGTTGTCATTTTCCAAACGATTCGTGATTACCACCAGATTTGGGCGGGACAGAGGAGGATAGCAACGCTCGGTAGGATTGTCCATTGACCACAAAAGAAAGTCCGTTGTAATCTTAGCAAGTCTTGCAAATTTGTCTGCTGGAGCATTGCGTACCACATTGACTTTGATTCCGGAGCCATGCGCAACAAATTCCTCCTCTTTCACAACATAGGCGTAGAACAACACGCCGCCAGAAGAAGAAGGAACACTATCACGAACAGCTGCTATGATATTGTCATAAAACTTAGAGAGGTGGAGACCCGGAGGGAGTGGGTAATCCTCGACGTCCCAGAAGACGCATGTATCAACATTGTCAGGCATGGAGAAATCAATGGTATGGGGATCTGGAGCTGGAGGCTCTATAAAATAGAGCTCCTTCTCATCTCCATGCTCTGGCTGCGGTGGGTAGTCAAGGTCGAATAGGTTTGGACAAAGCCAAACTGGGATTCTACAATTGATCCGCTTATCGCAAACAGTGTCGACATCAACCTCAGGCGGTGCAAATAAAACATGCTTATCGCGTACAGTCATTCCAGAACTTAGAGTGTCGACATCAACCTCAGGGAGTGCGAATAAAACATGGGAGCCTCTTTGTCTCAAAGAACCAAGAACCTTACAGATCATCTCCGAGTCTGGTGACAGTTTTGCGATGATGACGTAAGCGGATTTTTTTCGGTACATATGTGCTGAAGCCCGGTAAACAATATCCCTTAACATCACATGAAGTCTTTCATGTTCACTCCCTTTTGTTTGAAAAGTGCCGAATCCTTCATACTCATAATACCCATCCTTCACCTCTTTTGGGAATTTCGCGGCATCACCATAAGCCTCAACACGGGGACCATAGAGACGCTTTTTTGACAAGGAAGTGGCCATGGACGAGCAGATAAGATAAGAATCCTCATAATTATCGGGGAGCCAACTGTCCGTGTTCCAGAAGATATTTGTCTCATACCCTGCGAAAATGCAAATAAACAATAATTCTGCAGCATAAAACCACAAAAATTTCAGTTATGAACAATCTAATTGACGGTCCAAAATGTAACAGTGAACCCAAAGAACGAAGAAGCAGTAACAGAAACCCCAAAAGTCATCAAGATATTTCTCATCAATTATCCACGATTAGATTATAGAGAGAGAGAGAGATCTTACGGTGGAAAATACTTTCTTTTCTGGGCATGGTCTCGGCGGCGAGAGAAATCGATCGAGCGGCGAGATGAAACACAGAACAAGGAGGAATCGACCGACAAAATTAAGATGAAGGAGAAAAGTTAGGGTTACACGCCTCTGTGACTAGCTATTTAGGGGTTACAAATTGGGTTTCTTATTCTTCTTATGTTGCCAAAATCATGTCCAAATTCTTCTTCTTATGTCTTTTTAAAGTAACAAAACATTAAATAGATTCCATTTCTCTACTCACGTATATTTATTTATCCTTACATTTTTCCATATTTATCACGTATATATATTCTCATAACGATCCTAGCCAATATTGCATCATAACTGAACTTGATTGAATATATTAAGATACTACATTGAAAACTAAAAATTATTGATATAAATATGTAAGTTTTAGTTAGTAATTTAATAAATTTCAAACATATTTTAAAATACTGTTTTTTCTAACACTTGATTTTTT